TGAAACATATCGGTGATGAAAGGCCCTCCGTGGGAAAGGTCAGATGGGAGCAAGAAGCTGTTTATGCTGCAGTTAGTGGTCAAAAAGAGCTTCTATTTCTCCTTCTCCAAGAAAATCTTTTTGCTCCCTGCTTCATAACTCACAATATATTTCCTCCTGCAGAAGAACACAGCTGGCTCATTCCAGAGGGGCTCTCCCATTGATTTTAATGGGGAGGAGCATAAGGTGGCAAATACATGACAAAGTTCACAAATAACAGAGCCAAAGGGACACTTACGGCGTTCACTTACAACTGGCTTTGTTGCATTGCCATTTTTGTTACTAGCACAGCCATTTTCTGGTGGTGAAACTGGAATCCAAGAAACCCTGGATACAAACAAATCACCTTGTTGAGTTTATTGTCCTTTACTGCCTTTTGATTGACTAAAAACAGTGACTCAGTCTGAACCAGTTACAGGTACATCTAAACCAAAAGCTCCAATTGTAGGGTCTTGTGAAGACTTCAAGGCAGTGGATACAGCATCAAGTAGGCCATGGAAGAAAAACCATCATGCCCACATCCCTTGTCTCCAGTCCATCTCCATCAGATTTCAAGACAATGCACACCCAAACTCAATTTCAAACTAGAAACTCAGCAGTTTTTTTGAAGAAAAAATTCAACTCATAATCTAAATATACCAAATAATAGAAAATTCACAATAAATTGCAGCAGCTTACAATACCTGCTTATTTCTAATATGGCATGCTTTGACATAGAGACCTTCTCAAGCCCCCATCAACCAACTGCTGTTAAGAAACACAGTGATTCCACAGAAGCTTTACTCTGCTGGTACCTGGCGATAATTCTTCATAACCCTTTATTTTCACAAATGTCTGGGGCTGAATGGACATTGATTTGCTGCCTGTTAACATGTTTTTCTTTTAATCTACTGTGATATCCATTCTATTCTGCTTAGAACTATTCATATAAGTGGTGCTGCGGGAGCTATGAAATGGGACTGAAAAGCTGGCAAATTGCATCAGGTCTTAAAAGACCTTTAAAAAAACCACACTCTATACCTGAAAGCCACTTGATTGGGTAACATTTGAAGCTATTCTTCTTGCAGAGATTTTTCAGGTGCTGATAAAACATTTTAGGGGTGATAGATTAGCCACATGGCAAATACGTGCATTGAGATAAGACTATTTAAAGCTCTGAAAAGTAATAGCTGGACAATTGTTTCACTAATAGACCCGCTATTTCCTGCCTCTTGTAGGATCATTTTAGAAAGAGACAGCCAACATTACAGTAATCAGGAAATCGTATCAGGATATCTCCCCATATTCCTCAACGTCATGCTGGAATGTATAATTTGGTTTCCACACACTTTGATACAGTAAGTGAAGAAAGGAAAAAAAATAATCACTCTTTTTTGGTTCCCCAAGCCAGCTCTCTGCTTTATCTTTGGCGTTCAAAAAAGGCTCTTGCTGGGCCTGATCCTAAATTGTAAGTATGGCTGAGAAGACCAGCTTTTGGAAGACCTCATCCCAAGATAGTTCACAAAATAACTTACAGATGATGATATTTGTCATAGTACCATGAGAGCACAGCCAGGAACAGGGTAAAAGTCGGAGAATACGAAGCCACAAGCATGGCATGCAACATACAGATAGTATTAGTAACACAGTACAGATGCTCAAGCAGAATAGATGGCTCAGACTCACACATTCAATCCAAAAATGCACTTTTTAATAGTTATATGGAATTCCACTTCGTTCATTTACCACTGTATGTTTCCCCATGTCGGCTTAGAGAGACAACTGAAGACAACAAATCCGAATCTCTGCTGCACAAATGACAACAGTCATTCCCTTCACCTCCTATCACTGCTTTGAAATGATATTCTTCTGACTGAGGACAATATTTGCCCATAAACTAATAAATATGAACCTGACAGGACAGGAGTTCTTTAGAAATAAAATAAACAAAGAAGGAAATAGGAAAAAAAAGGAAGAAACATCACCTTCAATCCAGTGTACACCAGTTGTGGTTGTGTGCTCCCAGCCTACACAACTGCTTTCCCAGAAGATGCTGACATGGGAAAAAGAGATCTGTTTGAGTCCTTGCTTCTGCAAAACTGCAGGCTGATCCTGAAAATTGACTGCTAAACATGTTCTCATCATAGCAGGAGATCATGGCCTTCGTTATCTTTAGGTAAATCGGGATTATTTCTTCAACTAGTTACATTTGAGTTGGGTATTTTTACATACAATCAACAAACTCCAACTCTGCTTAGGTTGCATTAGCCCTTAATGAATGCAGCAGCATGACCTGTTGGACAACTGGGGCAGATGGAAAAGGGATGGGGCAGAAAGGAGAAGAAATACAATAAAATACATGTGCATACTTACAGTTCTCCCTCTTCGTGCATACGGGCATGTTGCACATTGAAATTTCAGGGCAAATCTTCCATATTTACCTTACTTAGCAAAAATGTTATTATTCCTCACCTCTGCAAGAAAAGCAACACCTGGGCTGTTTGAGATTAGATATTACCCAAAGTGAGGCGCTTCTTTTCCTCCTGTCCAAGATATTCATAGCCATCAAAACCATTGGCTAGGACAGATTTCCACGCTGTGCTGTACAAATGGCAGGATTTTCAAAGAACAGCAAAAGCTATGAAACAAACTTGCTGAAATGACACCTTTTTAAAATGTTTTTATTCATAACAGTATTACATGGTGTGTTACAGAAATTAATGGAAAATTTCTAAAAATTTGTTGTTTTTTTGTTGTTGTTGCTGAATGCATTATACATAAAGTTAAAAATAATGTGTCCGTATATGTTAACAAATGGTCATTATCTGAGGTAAAGTTAAAGTAGGTTTAGAAATGTACTGCAACAGTCATTTTATCTTTCTCATCTTTATTAAAAAAATATGTGTCAGAATGCAGAAATAAAAATGAATGAAAACCACAGAGTAAACATTTTTTGCAAAGAAGGTGCCCAGTACGTTATTAGATGAAAGGTTTTGTCAGACACTTGAATGACTACGATCTATCTCTTCATGACAGGTAAAGATCAAGAATCTACGGGGGATGACAACAGGATGGCTGGTGGAATTCCCTGGTTTTTTAATTTAAAGTGACAAATTTAGTGCTAGTGAAGGACGAGGGATTCAACAATTGCACAAGCTGGATATTCAAGTTATCTACAAGACTGGTACAGTGCAGAGGCCGCACATTCCTCTCAACTCAACATCTCAATCGTGACAAAGATGATCTAACTGCATGACACAATAAGTCAGAATTTATTTATCAGTGTTGGTAAGGGTATGACAGTAGTCCATGGGGATGGCCCAGCTGTCTCCCATGAAACGCTACAATCCCAGCCTCGTTCCCTCTGCACCTATTTGTTGCAAGAACTACAGAAATGATCCGCTTCCTACCAATACGATGTCAATGGATCCTCTGAGGCGTAAATCTCTTCTTTTTCTTTCAACATTTTACCCCATAACTGGAAATGCATTAACTAGACAGAGCCTCAAATGTCTACGATGCATCAAAATTGTCTTCTCGGTTCCGTATGGAGGACAAAACCAAAAAGAGCTGCTGACGAAGTAAGTAGCACCACAGTGCAAATTAGGAAAATAGGCTTCAAATGTCCTTCAGAAACGTTTTTATCTCTGCTTTTAATCCTGAAACACTCAACCCACCAGGTTTTGGTTCATCTCCAATTAGAAAACCAACCTTCCTTCTCATGGGAAAATAAGATTCGCTACAGAACTGTTTGCACATGTCTAAGGGATAAGCATCAAACGACTGTGAATGGGAATAAAAGTCCTCTTCTCTGCAGGTTCAGTGGGTCTATTCACAGCTAATTTTTTCATTCACATACATTCTGCAACGCACTTTCCTCTAATTTCTCTAATTCAAAATAAAAGATTGGAATCATGGTGTGAGATTTCGTTGTACATATCAACAATTGCCACCCCAGCTATTATTTAGCCTTCTAAACCATTTTTAGCTTATCATAGAGATGAAGGAAAGTAAAATATTTATAACTCCAGGCCTATTTTAAACATGACAAAAATGCAAATCCTAATGTGTCAATTTAAAAACAAAATCTGCACAATAACCCTAAAAACAGATTAATCATTTAATTTCTTTAACCTTTTTTACTTTTTTTTTTTCTGTTTTTTTTTCTTTTTTTTCTTCTTTTTTTTTTCTTTTTTTCTTTTTTTTTTTCCTTCTTAGTGTTAAACCACTAAATTCAATATACTGTAACTGCATAGGAACATCAGGAAAACACATTTGACCTGTATAACAATTCTCTGTAGGGCAAAAATATATAGATTCTTTATGAAAATCATGTGCTAAACATATGAACCCAAACACTGCACTTCTGCTTCATAAATGTAAAAAAACGGAAGTTTTAAATTCTTTCATTCTGTGTGTAAACAGCTCGATGACTTCTATGCAGAGGTTCTGGAATCGTAAGGGGATGCCAATGAAAATGTGATTTCTCGTAAGTGGAGTATGCCTGTGTGAAGAAGCTACACCATAAAATCATGTGTTCCCATTAATTTCACTAGTTGCTGACAAGCTGACTGCCTTCTGCAAATGCACTTGAGCTTCAGCCCATTATCGTAAGCACGTGAGAAAACGTATGTGATGTGAGAACCACAAACTGGGTTTGCCACACCTCCCAAGCACTGCAACTTGCTACCTTCTCTACTGTGTAATGGCATTAGTAAAAGAATTCTCATAACATTTATATTTACATTAAAAAAAAAAAAAAAGACAAAAAAAAAAAAACAAAAAGAAAACTGGCAATTTTCATTCAAACTCCTTAAAGCCATTTCCCCTTAAACAATTAAAGAGTTTAACAGTAAGATTTTTTTTTTT